CATGGCTACACAGCCCAGTCACTTGAGAAGATTGACATGTCCCCCACAGAATTGTCTTCTTGGCACCTTTGTTAAAAGCCAACTGATGGTTCATGGGAGGATCTGTTTTTAGACTCTTGTGTTCCGCTGGCAACACTACAATAAACTCTAAGGTCAGATAGTGCAAATCCTTCAAGGTGTTCTTTTTAAAAATAATTCTTAGACCAATATAGGTCCTTTATCTCTCTGTATAAATGAGTATCAGTCTATCAATTTCTATGACAAGCCTTGCTGAGATCATGACAGACTGCTTTAAATCTACTGAATATTTTGGAAGAACAGAGTTCTTAATAATTCAGAATCCTCCCAGCCATGAATACATCATACTCTCCATTTACTTAGATGTTTATTTCAGCAATGTTTTATCATTTCCACTGAAAAGGTCTTGCGTCTATTCTATCTAATTCATCCAATTTCATCTTCGATTTTCTTACACGTGATATTTTTAATTTCAGTTTTCAGTAGTTCACTGCTAATAACATAGAAACACAATTGATTTTTGTGCATTAGTTTGGATCCTGCAAATCGACTTTGTTGGTCCTCCAAACTTTTTTTTTTTTTGGTCTGCAAATAAAGATGGTTTTACTTCTTCCTCTGTAATGTATGAACATTTTCTTTCTTGAAACTTCCTTATTGCATTCTTGGATGGTGTGGAAACAGCAGACAGAGCAGTTCCCTTACCTTGTTCCTGATCACGGGGGAATATTGTTCACTCTACCACCTCTAAGACCGTTCCTGCAGGTATGTATAGATGGCCTCTATTGAGTTGACGTGATTTCTTCCTGGTTCTAACTTGCCGAGAAACTTTACCCTAAATAGATGGTTCATTTTCTCAAATACTCTTTCTGTATCTATTGAGGTGATCAGACAAGCCTTCACTTTGACGCTGTCCACACAAGGAGTCCACGGGCCACTCTACAAACATTAAGTCGGCCTTAGAGTCCTGGATATAACCCTTGTTTGATTATGATGTACTTTCTGCTTGCTGTGGTGTTTGATTTAATTGACTACAATTTAAAGCTTTTGCATCTAAGGTCATGAAGGAGGATACCTGCCTGCAGCTGTCTTGGTTTGGAATGCCTTCGTTGTGCATTGGTATTATTTCAAACAATGAATTAAGATGTTTCTTTCCCTTCTATTTTCTGAAAGAGTCTGTATAAAGCAGGTAATAATGCATCCTTAAGTACACAAGATAAGTTATAAGTAAAGCCATCTGGGACCCTAAGTTGCATTGTTGAGGACTTCTAACTATAAGCACAATTAGTTGAATGGTTATAAACTGACTTAAGTTATTCGAGTGGAATTGGGCAGTTTATACATTTTAGAGAAAACTGTGCATTTCATCTAAACTGTGGAGCTCAGTGGCATAACCCTGTTTATAACTTATGTGTCTCTTCCTTTATAACGTCGGTAGGCTCTGTAGTGATGCTCCTGTTCCCATTCTAAACAGTGGTGACGTCTAGCCTGCATCCTCTCATCTCCATCATTCTGGCCGAGGCCCATCAACTGAAAAAGAGAAAGACTCTGCCTTTTCTGTATTGGGTTCCTGTTTTCCACTCGTCCAACTTCTGTTATCTTTACAAACTTCCTTACTCTTAGTTCAGTCTGCTCTTTGGGGTTCATGATGAAAGTGCAGATCTGTGATTTGAAGTTTTACTAATCTCAGTATCTGGTGTGATTAATTTCCATTAAAAAAAATTTACCTGTATCTTACCACCTTAATTCATCTTATATATACTGAATGAAATGAGTGTACAATTAATAAAAAAGATTGAGTGTCTATTCCATGTCAGACACTGAAGCAGGCACCAGACATACATTTTCTTAAAATAGAGCTTTCCCTTCTCCTACCAACTGAACACCAATAAGGTGGTGCTAAAGCCAATATTCCTGGTTATCTTCTTGATACTTGGAAAGTATCTCAGTCAATGAAGCACAGAAGGTTTCTTGGTTTATTATAATGGGGAAAAGGCTGTTTTATAATAAACTCATAGTTACATCCCTTTCTTATGATCCAGCAGTTGCTAGATTATATTTGTAGTTCCACTTGCAACCAGAATAATTTTTATTCTCCCACTTACACTGTGAATAAATTATGCATTTGAATTTGATAAGCAAATGTAGGTATTTCTATGGTCCATAAAAGATAATTTTGAAGAATGCATTCCATGTAGTTTCATATATTTTCTCTTTTCTTCCTTTAAGGATATTTTTATTTTTATGTGCCTTGGTGTTTTGCCATGGGTTGTTGGGTCCCCTGAAACTGGAATTTCAGACAGGTGTGAGCTGCCATGTGGGTGCTGAGAATTGAACCCTGGTCCTCTGGAAGAGCAGTCAGTGCTCTTAATCACTGAGCCATCCCTCCAGCAACCTCATATATTTTCTTAACAAGAAAACATTCTAGTCATTCTATCCTCATTTCAAAATGCTTAGAACGTGTGTGTGTGTGTGTGTGTGTGTGTGTGTGTGTGTGTGTGTGTGCCATCTAAGTGAATATAATTCATGACAAATCACTGATTCTAACATCATTTAAATGCTGGCCCTATCCTACCATTAAAGTTTTCCAGAATGCTATCAGTGGGTCCTATTAAACGTTGAGGCATAATTTTAAGCAAATATAGAGTTTGAACTTCAGTTCACATTTAAATCTTCGCTCATCCCCTGCAACAGTAAATAGCTCTGGGCTCCTCCTAGTTAGCTAAGTCTCCGCTGAGGTTTTATCATGGCCTCACGTCTAGGTCTTCATTTCTGTTCCATATTCTCTATCTTAACTACTTTTTCTGTCACCTAGGAAGTCTGTAAGTACTGATGCTGGAGTCCCACTCTCAGAGGTTTCTATCTAGCATATTTAAAAGTAGAGGTGTTTAAAAGCTCTCCCGGGACTCAAACCTTCAGACTAATCTGGGCTGTCTCCAGTAAGCCATCTTATCATGGCTGATGGCCAGCCTGTACCACACTCCATCACCTAATTCCCCTAGAGATTTGGCCAGCCTAACTCTTAAGCAAACACCAGTTCAAAAAAAAAAAATTCTCATGCTCAGTTCGATTCCATGTCCAGAAATTCACAGACAACATGTAAACTTACTTGGGAAGTTGAGGCAAAAGAATTGTCCTAAATTCAAGCCAGTCTGGGCCACTGTGTGAGACCCTGTCTCACACCAACAACAAAGTTAATTTTTAACTGTATTTTATCGGATCCTATCTAGCCCACTACTAAATTCCAAAAAGAAAGTTAGACTGAGGTGAAATTAACCCCATCATTTGAGAACTGAGGTTAAAAAGCCATGGATTTTTTTTTCTTACTTCCATTTAAAAGACGAAGACTTAGAGATATCTAGACCATGACTGGAAAAAGTACAGAGACAACTAGCCAAACTAGTGGAAACACATGAACTGTGGACCAATAGCTGAGGAGCCTCCAATGGTACTGGACTAGGCCCTCTAGGTAAGTGAGACAGTTGTTTAGCTTGAACTGTTTAGGGGGCCCCCAGGCAGTGGAACTAGGACCTGTCCCTAGTGCAATGAGCCAGCTTTTTGGAACCTAGTGCCTATGGTGAGACACTTTGCACAGCCTTGTTTCAGGAAGGAGGGCCTTGGACCTGCCTCAACTGAGTGTACCAGGCTCTGCTGACTCCCCATGGGAGACCTTGCCTTGGAGGAGGTGGGAATAGGGGGCGGGTTAGGGGGAAAGGCTGGGGGTGGGGTGGGAGGGAGGACGGGGGAATCTGTGGTTGATATGTAAAATGAATAGAAAATCTCTTAATAAAAAAAAATAAAAATAAAAGACGAAGACTTTCAAGCCTTTGGTGCTATTACAGAACATATGGTAAAATTAACACCACCCGGAAACAAAATACGTATCTCACTGAATCTTTGCCACTATCCATCTTGTTCCACCACTTGTGAATTTCAAACAGATTTTGAATACCGATTCACCTGGGGTTCCAAACCCACTCGCGTCAGAGCTGAGGCCATTATTAAACTACATTTTGCCAGGCCACTTCATTGTAATCACCATTTCAGCATCTCAGAGAGAGCACAATAACCCCAACCTCACAGAGACAGAGCGAGGATTAAGAAACAAGGGCGTTTGGGCACTGTGTGAGGCACTCTAGAAATTTACAGTAGAAATTCTGTCTCCAGGGAACTATGGGAACGGCAGCGGCATGTAAGAAGTTGCGCGCAGCTACATGTCTTGCAGAGAGGACAACCAAACTCCAGGTGCTCTGGCCACCTCTTCTGGGAGGAATAGTTTGGAAACACTATTGCAGCCCTCACGCACCCCAGGCTGATTAAACTTAATAGCAAACACAGAGAAGTTTCACCACCACCACCATCACCACCTACACACACACACACACACACACACACACACACACACACACACACACACACACACACACGCCCCCGGGAAAAAGCTAAACAAAACTCTGCCAGGGTGCAAAGCCACGCACTCATTCTGATCCCTGCCAGGGGAGCTATTGTACCTCTGGGATGTAATGGATGTGCATGCTGAAACACGTGTGCACGTCTGTGTGGCTGAACCAACATGCATCCATAAACACTATGAATAATACTCGCGAGAATGTATGGCTTTCTCCTAAGAAGTGCTGGAAGCACGTTACTCAAACCATATCACTTTCATATCACCCCCTACCCTGAGAGGAGGAGAAGGATGGCGCTCTCTATCACTGCGGGGCTTCCCCTAAGCGCAAAGTCCAGGTCCACAAAGAAGACGGTGGCCAGGCCGGCTTCCCAGAGTCACACCTGCGCCCTCACACACCCTCGGCTGTCCCATCAACAGTGCAGGTCACCTGGGAGAGAACCAAAGTCTAGAGGGAATTCCCTCCGCTGCGGAGCGATGAGAAAGCGGGACCCTGATGAGTTGTTTTATATATATAAAATAAATAAAAGGAGGAAAGATCCAGCAGTCATGAAAGAGCGAGGAGGTGGCTACTCACCCAGCCCTCGAAGGTGTCCGAGGCGCCCGCCGTGCGCAACAGCTCCTGGAACTGCAGCGTGCAGTTGGCCACAAAGTGGTCATAACCCAGAGGTGTCTCGTGGAAGACGGCCAGCTCCAGGTGGCCGCCGTCGGTGACATTGGCGCAGAACTCCTCGTTGTAGGTGGGTTTGTTGGTCTTCTGCTTGGTGCTGGTCTGGCCCACGCGCACCTGATCCACGCTCACCGTCAGGTAGGGGTCCAGCAGCTGGTGGCCCTTTTTGAAGAGCGAGTGCCGCAGGGACCAGCGGGTGGGCTGCAGCCCCACAGCCTCTCCGATGCGGACCCTCAGATAGCCATTGAACTTCATTGTGCCGGACGACATGCCGGCGCTGCTGCCGGGGCCCCGTGGGGGCCGCGCTAGCTGGCACCGGGGAGCAGGGAGCCCGGGTTCAGGGTAGCCCTCGCCGCAGCCACAGGCTTGGAGACAACTCCCGGGAGAAGCAGCGCCCGAGCCCCCTGCCACCGGCCATTCCGCCTCCTCTAAGGGACCTTCCCCTCCCCTCCTTCCCTCCCGCCCTTTCTCTCGAGGTGGAAAGGAGGGGAGCTGGGCTCCCAGCCCTTGGCGGGCTGGTGGGTTCCCGACCGTCCCTATGGAGCGCGCGGGGCTCGCCCCTTCTCCGGGGCCGGGCAGATCGTCTCCCCGGAGAGCAGGAGCGACCCGTCCGGCTAGCTCCAGCCTTGGCGTCTCTGCCCCCGCCTCCGCCCGCTCCTCCTGCCCCCGCCTCCGCGGGCTCACGCTCTCCCCCACTCGGTGAGCTGCTGCGAACCAGGAAGCAGCCGCCGTCGCCGCCGCAGCCCCGGCCCGAGCCGCACGCCACCAGGCTCTAAGTTCTCAGAAGCCGGGCGCGGGCTGCTGTGCCTTCCGGACCCCGGGGGCGTGGCGCGCCGCCGGCAGCCCGGCCTTGCAAGGTGGGGTGCTGGGGTGCACCCGGTAGAGGAGGTCCGCGCCCCCCGCAGGCAGCCCGGGCCCTGCGTGCTCCCGGATCCCTGCTTCTGGTTGCCAGGTTGAAGGAGCGTTTCGGGCTGGGGGGCTGCCCTAAGAGGCTGGACAAAAAGAAAGAATTCGTGGTCGACCGCCAACAAACACCTGAGGCGTGGCAGACAAACCCAGAGAGTTGGCAAGCCGGGAGGATGCGGAAGATCGGCAGCAGGGAGCCCTACCTCCCACCCTAAGCGGTGGCCTGGAGCCACTGCCCTTTGGTGGCGAGAGGCCTGGCCAGGGGCGGGGGCATGATAGGGAGGAAGCTTTTCCTAATCTTTACAGGGATGGCTCATCCCAAGGTTCATCTTAGACTCATCCTGTTTGTGCGCCTTTCCTGCAGAGAGTAATTAGTTGTTTTGTTTGTGTTTTTTTTTTAATAGGGCAATGATAATGATGGAAATCCTGTGCTCCTCCTTCCTCGGAGAGGTGTGTCCCTGCACAAAGAGCAGGAAAGGTTGGTTCTGCTGGAGACAGACATACATGGTCAGGGTATATAATAAGTCCCTTCCTCCGCGAGAGGCGGTTACTGGTCCACCCAGTCCTGCATCGTAAGGACAGAAAGTGTTCACATGCACCACCCTGACGCACAGGGGCCTTAGAATCTACCTCTTGCAGGAACACTTTAGGTTATTACTATCGGAGTGGGCAGACTCCGAACTTACTCATCTCGTGGCTCCTGCAGGTTTTGTCCCCTAGGAAAATGATTTGGATCTAATCCATTCTACCAGAAAGCTTGCTCCCCGAGGGCCAGCCACAACCAATTTGTCTCCCATAAAGTCTAGGCTATTCTTAAGATACTTGATGGCACTCTTACCCTTCTGGTTCTTATGGACCAGGTTGGTCTTTGTAGCCCCCTTTCTAGAGCCTAAGACTGGCTCTCTGAGAAGGTTCTCGGCCAGTTCACACTAGTGTATTGAGACCTCACCAGTAGCAGCTTCCCACTATAGGATGAAAGCGAGAACAATAGGCTGATGGGAAGGGCCTCTCTTGGAAATACCAAGGCTTCCTGAAAGAGTGGGGCAAGGATGTAGCAGGTCACTTGAGTTCAGGCAGAGCTCTGTCAGGCATGCTAGCAACGCTGGAGGAACTCCTAGGTAAGAGGTCAGATCTGCCCAGTGAGTCACCTCCCGCAAAGAGCTGGACCCGACTCCCTGACTCGTCCAAAGAGCTGGCTCGCCTTCAGAACCGCTGAAGGATTTGCCGCTGTTCAGCTTTGGCGGTTTAAGACGACCGTCCCCAAATGAAGAGGAGCTACCCAGCTGACCCGAGGTTGGCGTTGGAGGAACACCAGACATTCTGTAGTCGACGTCGTATCAGGCCCCAGGGTGGGCTGTGCGCAGAACAGCCAAGTGCCTGCTACGCCTGTGGGGCCTAGAAGCAACAAATAGAAAACGCCATACGTGGCAAGTGTAGAGAAGGAAAAGACCAAGGGCCCTGACCCATGTGATCCCCGTGGGTGGGTAGGTGGGTAGGGAGGGTCCTCTGTGGAAGTAAGCAGTAGCAGGATTGGGTCAGACTCTGAGAAATAGCGTGGTTTGACCCATCTAGGGAACACTGAGCACTGGGAAGCTGGAGACGGGAAAGGTGAGACTCAAGAAGGTAAGATTATCCTGAAAAGGTGGCCACACGGCCAGACTGGTGGAGGGGAGTCAGGAGAAAGTGTGGCCATTCCCTATGGGCAACCTTAGAAGCCCTCGAGGCAGAGCCAAGGCAGGATGAGATTTATGTTTTAAAAATATTCATTGGGCCGCGTGGCCAAAATATTGGAAGAACGAGCCTGGGGGGAGAAGGGTCCTGTGAGGGGGTTGCTGTTGCCTGGGATTTTCGGGCGTTAATGGAGATGGAGATACATAGATGAATTGGAGACATATTAAGGAGGTCGAATTGACAGGTCTGGGAGCTAGATTGAACAGAGGGGGATGAGGAAAGGAGAGCATCTGGGGTGACTTGCAGAATGCGGCTTAAGCTACTGGGCCCACTGGGGAGCCATGAAGGAGTTAAGACACTGCTGGAGAGAAAAGATTTGTGGGCGGAGATGAAGAGTTCAATTTGAAACTTGTCAAGTTTGATGTATGTTTGATACATTTAAGTGGAAATCTGAAACTGGGCGATTGGCTGGGCAATTGTGACACTCCAAGGGACATTCTGGGCTGAAGACATGAATTTAGGAGCCAAGGTACATAGAGAGTAATGGAAGCCAGGACACTGGTTGAGGTTCTGCTATACGAAACAGACTAGAAGAGTGTAGCGTGGGAAATAAAAAGAACAAAGACAGAGCTCCTCAGAAAGCCCCACATTTGTAGGTGGAGGAGAAGAGAGCAGGGGTGCCCAGAAGCCGGTAAGAAAGGAGCGGGAGGCAAGAGGGTGTCCTGGACAAGTATTGTGGAAACCAAAGGGAACAGGGTTCAAACAGGTCAAATGATGCGGGACTCACATGAGCACGGAGGAAACGTGCCCTGTGTTTTGGGCAATGGACAGGGTTTGGGGATCTTTGTGCTGTTTCTCTAGAGGGAAGGCGGCAGAAGACCATCCCATGTGGGTTGAGGTGGAAAAATTAAAAAAAATAAAAAACATGAAGAAGTAAAGATTGTGAGATAATACCACAAGTTTTGGTCAGAATGAGGAGCAAGGGCACTGAAGAAGAGAAGAGAACACTTGGAGGGTAGGTAGCAAGACGAGACCCGAGAGAGATCACCCAGCCCCGAGAATATAGGAGGAATGAAGGGATGGGCCTTGCTTTAAAAGAAGGACCTAGCTGAGCATGCATGGTAGCATGTGCCTCTAGACCCAGCTACAGGGAAGGCTGAGGTGGATTCCGGATGACCTAAACCCAAATTCAAGTCCAGCCTGGAGAATACAGCCAGACATGGGCTCAAGAGGGAGAGAAGCGTCTATGTTTGTGTTTAGTCTTCTGGCTACAAGTGTCTGATTAAAGTCACACATTAGAGTGAGATAGTTCAGTGCAGGCCACCTCCGGTGTTAGTCCAACTGTTTCTTAGTGTACTCACGTGCTTTCTTAGCTTCTTCTTCTCTCTCATCACACATTGTGCCTTCTCTTCTGTCCTCTCCTCTCCTCCCCCCCTCCCTCCCTCATTTTCAGAAAGGGTCTTTCTATGTACCCCGGGCTGGCCTGGAACTCTCTACATAGACCAGGCTGGCCTCGAACTCACAGAGATCCCCCTGCCTCTGCTTCCGGAGTACTGAGCCACTTCGTTGGCCTTTTCTTCTCTGATTGCCTTCCTGATTTCCTCCTCCAGTAACTGGCTCTCTCGGTTCTGGAGATAGCCACCCACAGCTCCAACTTCCCAGATTTATAGCTTGGCAGCCCTGGCAGAGCCAAGATTTCCTACCAGCATCTTCAAGTCCATCTCCAGGAAGCCGTGTGGTTTCCAGGAGACACTAGACAGGTCCAAGGTCTCTGTCAGAGGGGACTGTCTGTTAACCCAAGCCTCACCTGTATAACAGCTTTGAGCCAGATCTGGCCCTGATGTAGAAGGAAGGCCCTTTATGGCTGTGCATCCCACCCAGATCACTACATGTATATAATGCGATAAAGCAACCAGTGTAATAGAGCCATATCTGTGTGGCCACTTGGAAATCTGTGCTATGCAGGCTTTGTAAACTGAAGGACCTTTTCCTGTAACTACTAGTGCTCCTTAGCCACATAGTAACTGGGTTTCTCTGTTTGTGATTCCTAGCACACTTTTTTTTTTTAATTATGAACTGCTGGGTTGATTGAACTGCTGCAAATTTTCTGATTCCTTAAGGAAAGTTTCACACAATGCTCATTCTACTTTTAAAATAGAATCAGAGAACTTAGCAAATGTCACAGCCAGGTCAAAACTTACTCCGTGTTACTCTAAGATGTCAACAGCCTTTGGGGATATATCTGACAGTAAACATTAATGGATTTAAAGCTCGTTCTTATACTGCAAACATCTAGTAATACTTGGATGTGTAAGTAAATCCTAGAGTAACAACTCAATGGGCTACCATCCAGCTATTAAAACTACATATAATTAACAGCAAAAAACCCAGGGTAAATAACATTTAAAACTAGACCATGAAATTTAAATAGTTATAAAGTATACAAAATATATATAATAAAATATTATATTGCAAAATAAATGAAAACAGATGTCAGATTGTTGTGCTTATGAGCAAGTAACACGTGTACGTATCTCAAAAGGTTCTGAAGATAAACCAACCAAATCATATAAAGCATATGAGCCATTACTGGGCAGGTGTCGCGTTTTGGCCATGATATTGGCTGCCATGTTATGATGGGTTGCTCATCCGCCTTCTGAACAAGACACTTGACAAACTTTGTTTTATCCCCATGACAACAATACCAGTGTTATTAGACTCGGTGCTTTACAAATAAAGGAATCCAGGGTCAAAAGATTTACATGAATTTGATCATGGTTAATACATAGCTAAGCTGGGTTTTGACCCCTTTCATTGTTTTTTTTAAATGCATGCCTAAGCCCCATGCTGGAGTGATTCCAACCCATAACAGGTTAGAGAACTAACGACTGCTGGTTCTGAGTACAAGGCAAAGAAGGAGATTCTCCACAGGCAGGACACAGTGGCATGGCGAGGGTGGGGTGGGGTGGGGGTGTCAATTCAGGGCTGTTCTGTATCCAGTTCTAAACATGCAAAGGTACATCTAAGTAAGAGGGCCCACGATGTCCTACTTCTGAATGTTCCAGAAAGAACAGAAAATGGTAGATATTTCACAGAAACGGTAACATTTCTCAGAATGGAAGAAGACACTAGCTTCATATCGAAAAGTGATACCCGTATTATAGGGAATGAGTAAAAAGCCCCACCTCTGGGTCTGGCAATGTGAAGTCGCTGAATGTGACAGTGAATACAGGGAATGACTTCAGAGGATGAGCTGAGGTAAAGTGGAGGCTGGGCAGAACAGTGAGATCAGAGAGGACTGGACTTGTTAGCCCAGGGATCCCGACGCGATAGTCAGCTCGGGTATCT